TTTTTTTTTCCTAGTAAATCACAAGCATTCAAGCTTAATGAATTCAGGCATTCAGGTTAATTTTTTTGTGTGTGAATGGGCCACATTTTTGCATGTTGCATAATTTTTGTTGAAAATTGTAGCCCTTTGATATTATAATATGGTAACTCTGGAAATTACATTCTTCCCCCTGTTTGGCATTTGTTTCTGCTTCTTGATGTGAGCAGTAGCTATTTGTTTATTGGATATTTTTTTCTAAATTATCTTTGTTAAGTCTGTATTATTTGTCACATGTTGTCTTCAAAATCTCTGCCTCCTTAGTTTATGTTTAATTATTGTTTTGATAATGATTTCCTTGCACATCAGAAGAAGGATAGAGAGGGCAAAGAGAGAGTAACTCTCCTTATCTTTTCAGTTTTAATTTCTTGAATACTTAGCTAGGCCATTTATAACTCTGCCTTAGTCTTCACTTCCTGCTTGTACTGCAGCAAAAGGTCAGCCAGATGTAAAAGCTTAAGGCCTTCTCTGGTCTTTCCTTAGAATGCATCTAAGTGAATATAAATGATTTTGAGGCCAAAATTTCTGGGTTCAAACTCAAGTTCTCTGACTTGTGTACTGTGTAATCTTACACAAGTTAGTTTCTCATCTGTGAGACAAGGATTATAATATCTGCTTTGCAGGCTTACAAGATTTAGGAGTAATTTATACTTGTCACATAATGGGAGCTTAATAAATGGAAACCAGTAATATTATTGTCCATCATGCAGAGCTTATGTTTAGTAAAAAGCCAGCCTAGTATTAGACTTCACACAGGACTAAAGATTACTAATAACTTTAAAATATGATAAATATGAATCCCATTTCTCTTATGGTAAGTAATGAAAAATCACTATAATTATTAGAATCTGAATGACTTTTAAAATGTAAGGCAAACTAGAACAGATAGGATTAGAATATTTTTCTGGAAAATCTCAATTGCAACAAGACAGATATCTTCAATGCCATGGTAATGTACCTATGTTGGGGAATCTAAAGCAAAAATAATAGATAATACAACTAGACATTGTCAATAGAAAGGTAACATACCTTAAGATTAAGTGCATTTCTTCCATATGCTTGACAGTTTACTACGGCCAGATTGGCCATGGCTGTTATTGTTTCATATCGAGTTGTTGTAACAGTCTTAAAACCTTCACCACGTAGAACATACACACCTGATTCTTTTTTGACCATTTTTTGGCCACCTATAGAAACTAAACCAAACATAAAACTCAAATATGTAATCACTTAGAGTGAAAGATAAAAATATTTATGTTAAGACTGAGTTATTCTAAGGGGTTAGCCCTTCACAACCTCAAGAAGGGATTCCTTCATCATCTTCATCTACTCAGTCTTAGCTGTTTGATAATTTGAGTGTTGTTTTGTTTTGTCATTTAATATTAGATGGTATGACTGTCTTTCAAAAGGAAAACTATATGCTCACAGATTTCTGTCTGAATAATTTTGACAATCAATCTCAGTCTTTTTGTATTACATATTATTAAAAAAAATTTTTTTT